TTGTGTTATCTGCATGGTAATGAATGGCTGGATGCATTTTTTCTCTCAAAACCCTAGTCATCTCAAGTTAAAGACTTTCTTGTACTAGTGATACCACGTCATCGGTACTATCAACCAATTATATCATGTCACATGCTAAGTGTTAGCATTCAATTAGTTGGTGATACTATGTCATCAAAATAAACATTAAAGTATTTCTAGTTACTTTGTTTTTTCTGTTGTTGAACCAGTCATTTTCTTCTAGGATTTTCAATTTAAATGTGACTTTGGGTCCTAATTGATATGATTGGTGTGAAACTCTTTGGAAAATATGTTTGACATTCACATGATTGAAATGTGCTCTCTTTTTAGTTGCTTGAACTTTGATAAAATTTGTAGATTTTAGGATGAATACACTTCTTCCAAATTAATATGCATGACATAATTTATCTCATATGTGCAGAACCGGGTTCGGCAAGAAAGAAAACAAGTTCTATCTTTTAAAAAGCTTTAGGTTTTACTTTTTAAATATATTTTCAGAAGCCAGACACCAGATTTTTTTTTTTTTTTTTTGTTTTTTTCCGTAAAATGTTTTAGGATCTCAGCCAAAACCAGAAAAGAAACAAAAAAAAAAAAAGAGAAAAAAATTATCTATAAAATATATTTTATGTTGAAAAAGATGGAGCCTATTTAAAAAGGTGGTTGTCTAATGTAAGAAATGAGAGCTAATATTTTGAGAATAAAAAAGAATAAGATGGAGCCTATTATAAAAGGTGGTTGTCCTGCCCCACCTTGCCTCAGTTCTGGGTGGTTAAATGGTTTTGGGCTCGGGCTGGGGGATTATCCCTATAATTATGCAGGGACGTTGGAGAAAGATCAATCCGTCTCGTGATAAATTATATTAATTTTATTCTTATATTTTACAGAGTATTTTATATTCAATAATATTAGATATTTATTAAGCAAATTCTAATGTATTCTATTACAATCATTAAATATTAATTAATTCTTATTTGAAAACTTTTATATATTATTTTGATGTTAGTATATAATACTCAATAGAAAAGTTAAATCTTGTTTTTTTGTTCACTTACTTTCGTTAATTTTATAATACAATTACAAAAATATTTTACAAAACTCGCCCCACTCCTGCCCCATCGGCATCCTTGTGCACAATGGTAAGTTAGTGGTTCACAGAGTAAGGACATGCTAGTCAATTTAAAGCCTACACCGGTATTAGCACAAAATTTTTGATATTCCGTGATTTTTCATGTTACATGCCAAATTCTGTTCATTGGAAAAATCAGCTGGTCCAAATTACATTAACATTCAATTGAGTTTTGTCATAATTACATGAACATAATCACCTATTTAGAAACTTTCAGTCACCTATCTTTTTAGAAAGAAAAAAATTGTTCAATTATGTTGAAACAATTCTAAATTTTTAAATTTATCATAAGAATTTGATACATTTCTAATTAAAAGTTAAAATTCATTGTGTACCAATACTACAGGAGTAATTAATTATAGAATTATGTCATACTATCTCATTTGTATATCGGATCAATAAAAAAAAAAAAAAAAAAAAAAAAAAAAAAAAAAAAAAAAAAAAAATTTATTAGATTGGACATATCAATAGTATACGGTATACCTAGTTCAGCTGATGTTTACATTCAATGATAAAAAAAAAAAAAGGATTAATTCTACCTACACTTCCTGACTTTTGACCATATTTCATATACACCCCTTTTAAATTTCAATATTTCACACACACCCCCTAACCTTTGACCAGAAGTACCAAGTAACCTCCGCCGTTAACGCCGTTAAGTAATAGACGGCTAGTGCTGATGTTAGGAGGAATAAATGAGTGTAAGGTCAATTTTGCCCCTCACAATGTCTGAAATGACATTTTTTTACCTCATAAAGTATTGCAGAGTTACAAAACTACCCTTGTGGCAAGAACAACAATATATCATACACTTCATATATTCTCTGACTCTCTCACACACATATATTCACTGTACACACACAATAACTGAGTCTCTCTCTTATCTGGCGTTGATGAGCTTATCGGTGACATTACGAGCGTCTTTCTCTAATATTCACTGTACACATACGCTCCAACTCGAGGACAGTACGAAGGTCAAGTTCAATGGCGATTATGAACTTGCCGGCTTTGATGAGCTTCTCGGTGAGATTTTCAATACCGGGACCGATCTCGAGGATGACATCGGAGCACGAGACGAGGATACCCTTCAATTCCGGCCATCATCGCCGCTTTGTGATCCTCCACGTGAACCCGAAGCGGCGGCAAGTTCGCGAGCGACAGTGGTTAGGCGGTCGAATCCTTCAATCATGTTTTCGAGTTCTTTGTCAACGATAATGAACTTGCCGGCGTTGATGAGCTTCTTGGTGAGATTTTTGATACCGGGACAGACTCGAGGATGACATTGCAGCACGAGATTAGGATGCCCTTCAATTCCACCCATTATCGTCGCCTTGCGATCCTCCACGTGAACCCCAATCCGCGGCAAGTTCGCGAGCGACGGTGGTTAGGCAGTCGAATTCTTTGATCATGTTTTCGAGGCCTTCGTCGGTGGTGACAGAGTTTAAGGAATCAAGGTCTTCTTGAAGAGACGGTTAGTGAAGTCGGAGAGGGAGGTTTGATGCTCGATGATGACAATTCGGGTGTCACCACCGAGTAGCACAGTGAACTAGGTCCGACCTTGACGGAGCATGCCCTTCCCCATAGCGGCGAAGGCACCGATTGCAATGCCGTCGCGGCTGTAATTCGACATCCTGCCGCCAAAAGAGATTGACACGACGCCGATGCCGTCGTCAACGGCCTCCTCTACCGCCATCAGTATGTCGAAGCTAAAAGACCCTCCGACCCAGCACACTTTACAGATGACAACCCACGCGCCGTCCCAGGAGCATACCCAAAGAGGTCCTCATCCGTGACGACTGAACCAGCCGCCGCGACGGAGGTGTGGGTTCCATGGCAGCATGGCATCCTTCGTCCCTCGGGGATTTTCCCTTGGCGATTTTGATTCTTTGGAGTCATCAACTAGACCGGTTCCTGTGAGGAACAATTTACTTACATACGGTGAGAAAAGGCTTCTGGTTTGGATATTGGCCGTTTGGGTTTGAAGTTGGAGTTTTTTGGGGCAATTATTGTGAGAAATGGCGAGATTGAACTGACAGACTATGAAACTTCCAGCTCTCGCCGTTGTCGTTAAAGATTCGCCAAAGAAGATGGGTTTTTCAACTTTTTCTCACTCTCTCTCTTTCATGTTTTTTTTCCTCGACCAGATAAAAACAAGAAGTTTCCTCAGTGGTTTGCTCAAGAAAATTTCAGGCGCTGCGAATCCCGATCTTAGGGAATGGTCCGTGGTGCACTGTCGGCAGCCGGCAATCTTTCAGTGATATCAAGGACTCTGATGATGAAATCCCTTCCAAAATGACTCCAACAGTAAGAATTCAAAGATTCAATCAGTTTGCAATAGCACAGATGCACTATTGGAAAACGCCGGGGAAGTTTCAGCTCTCGCCGTCAGTGTTGAAGATGCCGTTGCCGGAGAAGATGGGTTCATCACTTGATACCCAGATTCTGGGCTGTTTGCTAGAAAATATATCAAATATGCAAGGTTTCAGAGGGGAAAACAAATAACTCGATTTATGGGTCCTTTCACTCATCATCTTAATGGAAGAAAAGCTAGAGGATTTTAGTGCTTTAAAGTCCCTATTTTCTATTTGTGATGAGCTTGAGAAGATTAGTTTTTTATGATACAAAGAGAGTGTGTAGTCACCGTCGTAACGCTGGACAAGAACGAGGTAAGCCAGATCAAAGACCATGGCGGCGAAGTTCACAGCTAACTCGACCCAGTTCAGTCCGGCGAAGCTTCGCGGTTTGTTCACTGCACGTTGGTGGTCTCGCGACGGAGGAAGGCGGCTGTGATAAGAACCAACGAACTGTCCTTGCAATTGAACTGCGGGCAGGAAGGACTGAAGCTTGAACGGCGGTATGTCCTTACAATTGAACGGCGGGCAACGAACTATCCTTGCAATTGAACGGTAGGCAGTAAGGAGAACGGCTCGACTGTGATAAGAACCATCTTTTCTGTGGTTGTTGTTTGTTTATTCTATCGGTGGCATAGTTTCTTCGTCGCCGACAACAATGAAGAAGGAAGGAAAAAAAGAAAAAGAAAAAAGAAATAGAGAAAATTACATATAAATGGAGTCAAAGTTCCATATTTACTTATAGGCTGAGTCAAAGTTCCATATTTCTCTAAAATAGATTGCTGAGGTGGCACATGGTTTTTTACTGTTTAGAAATTATGGTGCCTAAAATACCCTTCCACGAAGGTACTACTTTTTCTTCGAAGGTACTACTTTTTTGAACTGAAGGTACTACTTTTTGGCGTCCAGGTATCATGTTTTTTAAACACTCGCGAAGGTACTACTTTTTCTCCGAAGGTACTACTTTTTTGAACTGAAGGTACTACTTTTTTACACTGAAGGTACTACTTTTTTGTTAGGGAAGGGCATTTTAGGCACCACAATTTTCTAAACAGTAAAAAACCATGTGCCACCTCAGCAATCCATTTTAGAGAAATATGAAACTTTGATTCAGTCTCTAAATAAATATGGAACTTTGACTCCATGTATATGTAATTTTCCCAAAGAAATATATATATACATATATAGAGAGAGATAGAGAGAGAGAGAGTATATATGTACATATGTGTGAGGGTGTCAAAGCCTTTCCTTTTAAGTTATAAATTTTTTATATATAATTCAAGGATAAAACAGTAAAATTACACATTTTCTTTGGTAAATTAGACCGTGTAAGTAGAATTATGAAACATAGAAGTATGTGTGGAATATAGCCCAACGTCAATGAGTGTAGATAGAATTAACCCTAAAAATATATATATTTTAAAATTTTCGAAAAATACAGATACATATATTTTTAAGAGTCTTAAAAAAAAAAAAGAGTATATATTTTATAAAAACCAAAAAAAATTTACTGAGGTTTTCTGGGCTGTTTATAAACGCCGTAAAGCCGCAACCCCCAAACCGTCAGTTCCCCGCCGCTGCAAACGTTCTGTCCTTTTGAAGCAGCACTCGATTAGTTCGCGACGCTGCTCGTGTCTAGAGAGAGAGAGAGAAAGAAGATACATATATATCTATAAAGAGAGATAGAAAGAGAAAATTTAAGAGAGAGAATATGCAGGAAACAGGAGAGAGAGAGATGGTAACACCAGGCGAAGTGTTGGGGAAGGCTTCGGACTTGAAAGCGGGAAAGGGTACCTACTTCGCACCCCACAATAACACCGTGTACGCTTCTCTCACTGGACGCCGATCCATTGTCACTCCTCCACCTGATTCACTCGACCAGGTATGCTCTCTCCATTATACTATTCTTCACTTTTGAAAAAGAAATTTAAGATTCTGTAAGGTACTAGAATAGCTCTGTTTGGTTGCTTAGAAACTGTGAACCAAATAAAAAATCTTAGTTCTTAATTTTTTTGTGTATTGAACTCAATTGTTCTTTTTCTCATTTATTTGGTGACCAAATCGCTGAAAAGGATTACAAGCTCTGATTCTTGGGTTTTCGTAACTTGTTCATCATACTGACCATTGCTTTTATTCTTGTTTTTAGTTTCCAAATTGATGTCTTACTCTTTGATATGTTTTTGATTAATCCTTCGAGGATTGCAGGCTTTAGCATTTTAGATTATGTTAATCCTTGAATGACAAAGATTGTTTTTTGTAGTTATTGTTAAGGAGTGACCTGTACTTTGGAATGGCAATAGGACGGGTTTGGGGCGGACCACCCTTCCCACCCCTAAGCCCCATTTCCTTGTTGAGGCTGTTTAGTGGAAGATCCTCCTACCTCATCCCGGTCTTGTTTAGAGTTCCCAGTCCCGCTCACTCCGTTTAACTTTATCAACCAATATCGCAAATCAAAGCTTAGGTGGCTAATTCACAACAATGAACATATTTAATGAAATGAAGAAAGATATTTTACAAAAAAGGAGAAACAAATTAGATTGAAAAATTGGAGGGAGCCAAGTTTAGCTTGCAAACACATGTACAGTTGCTAGAAAGACATTAATAGAATTTCAAGTTACCGGGTAATCAATATTTGATTGAACTCATTCTGCTTAAAACCTTAGCTTGCAATATAAAGCAGAAATATGCTTAAAACCTTAGCTTGCAATATAACACAAATTAGTAGTCAATTAAGGGGTAAATTTGTAAAAGGTAATCGAGTTTTTAATAAATTAAGAAATAATAGAATTAGTGACGGAATCCTGACCTAAATAGGGGAAAAACATGGGTATTAAGATTATATCTTTGTGGTTGTCTACAGAACCTTAGGACTGAACTAACCAGGTTACAACCTTGAAGAGAGAGAACTAGGAGGAGATTACAAAGAGTAGCAGTATTATCATGAAAGTAATATGCTAATTTTTCTACAACAATAGTTGGCTTGGTCTAGCCTTTAGATTAATTATTAATTTTTCAGTTTTGAATATGAATAAATTACAAGAAGATAAATATATATACACAAATATATATTCATCATGTATGTTTAATCTTGTAACTATATATATCCGTGTGTAAAATCTTGTTTTTGCCTTCATATGCATGATTAAATATATTAGAAGTAAATATAGAATTCACATGTATACACAATATATATATTGCATATGGGTTCCTAGGTTGATTAGACATTGAAAATTTTAAATTTTCATAGGTAAAGGTTCAATTTGTTGTTACATTGGGTGATTTAAACATTAAAGCATTATTATACATGGTTTACTTGCTTTAGATCGATGAATTTTGTTCCGAGTTTGAGAGGATTCATGGTTGGAAGAATGAAAGCCTAGGTATTTTCATTGGTGGGTTGGCTAAATTTGGACACAATTTGATGATATTTTTGTTACTATAGAGACCATGTACGGAATATAAGAGAGAGTAGACATGGATGGTATGGACATATTCAACGCCGACCTATAAATGCGCGATGAATTTGCATAGAAGGTAAAAGACAGAGGTCAAAAGAAATGATTTAGTTTTTTTTAAGTCTATTAGGAGAAATGGATTTTGATAGAAAAGATTGGGAAAAGAGCATCCATGTGACCAACCCATTGGTATGGGATAAACGCAAGGATGATAATGATGATGATGATGAGAGACCTTGTGTGATGCATTGTTGATCCATGTTTATTTTATGGTGAAATTGTGCCAATAAGATGTCCGAATCGAGCTTGGAATAGGGTTGGTCATGGTTTGTAGGAAATTGGGTGTTCTTTGCAAAGCTTGGGGAAGCAAAAGATTTTTTTTATGCTTAAGAACCGAGAGTATGAATAAATCTTAATTAGTTAAGTGTTCATTTTTTGTGGGTAGCTAAGTTAGATAATTTTGATGATTTCCAGATGTGGTGTTCTCTCTAGTTTGTGCTTGTTATTATAGATTCTAGTTCAAATTGGTTTTAGGATAGCGACATGGTGTTTGAAAGGTATGCGATGTATGGTAAAATAATTGAAAACCTATTAGGGGCGGAAACCCGCCGGGTCGGAGGAAATTGCCATCCCTATGTAATAGTCTAGAGGCATCTAGTTTTGTTTTTTTGTTTTTTTTTTTTTTTTTCCTTCCTTCTCTCTCTCTCTCTCTCTCTATATATATATATTTTTTTTTTTGTTAGTTCAGTTTATATTTCCAGCGATCTTGTAGTGAGGATAGCCATGTAATAGAGATAGGATTTATAAGTTGATATTGGTTTATTGTGGATTTATTTTATTAAATGATATTTTAGGTGATGATATGGTTTATTTAATATTGTTGTGGATGAATTTGGATGTTGGATTGAAGTCATGCACTGAATTTAAGTGTTTTAGGTAATGAAAAAGGGTATTTTGGTATGTCTATTAACTATATAGAAAGTAATGTTACAATATAAACGGGGTGGGGTGGGGGTACCTACTCCCGTTCCCGCCTCAAATTAGTGAGGGTTTTTACCTCCTCATTGCACGCTTGCCCAAACCCTTAAGGCCACCCTTAAAACTGCCTCAGACGGCGTGGAATGGGGTGGGGACCCGATGGTGTGGGTCATTTTGCTACCCCTATATGTACCCTTTTTGTTTTCGTGAGAAACAACTGTTGATTTTTACTAATCATGTGGTGTGCTCTCATTTGGGACCGATATGGTTACATACAAGATATTAAACTAAAATGACAAGACTTTTCTTGTCATTTTCTTTTTGTTAGGGGAGGGAAATTTTTTTTCCTAGTTGGTACTCACACTCCCCCCCTCCAAGGAATTGTTTGACCTGATGCTTCATGAGGCACCAAGGCCTAAGTCTTTTCCAACTAGGCCAACCCTTGGGGGTTCTGAGGGGGGGAGGGGGTAATTGGGAACCTCTTTCTAGCAAAGCTTGGATTTAAAATCCAAGCATTATTCAAGAACGTACATAACATCTTCTATATTATCGTCCACATAAAAACCGGCTATTTTATTCTGTAAACACAATATATTATAAATACATATTTCTAATAAAACATGAAATAGTATCTATGATGGTGGTCGGGTTGATTTATCTTAAAAGGAATATTCCATGAGCCAGTCAACGTGTAGACTTTTGCTACAAGTTTTTGATTTCTATATTAATGTTTTTTTATTTCAAATTTCTGGATGCCATTTTTTTTCCTCTACTATTCTAATTTGATGCTTTATATTAGTTGTATGCCATTTATAATATGTTGTTTTTGTTGCTAATTATTCATTAGAGACCAACTGTGGAAGTTACGGGTCACAAGGCCCATGGTGCTGTTCCTGAGCCCGGTTCTGTTGTCATTGCTCGAGTAAGTTTTGCTTTGATTTTTGTTCTCACTTGCGCGTAGTAAGTGCTAATTCTGAAGAAAATATGTAGGGAAAAGGCAAGCTAGAAAAGTCTGCATCCCCATTGATTTTCAATAATTGAGAAATGAAAAGATTTGGAAGATGGCATTTACTTTGTCTCACTCAAAATGTGAAACAGATTTCTAGCTCAATGTATAGATGCTACATTTCATTTTTTTTTGTTTTTCTTTTTGAAAATAATCCTTTTGCTTAAAATTATACACTTCGTTATACTTCTTTCTCTAGTAAAGCACATTTTTTTTATGAATAGTACTTTTCGTTCAAAGAATAGAACAAAGCCCAATGTATACATGTTAAATACTCACAGAGTAGGCCACTATCTTCATCCAAGAGAGTTTATAATTTGATAAAGGCCTCATGTCATTCATCTACTAAGAAGCTTCCAAAGTTAAAGAGTCCTATTCAAATATATATTTATAATTTCATGCTTGGAGAGGATGCTGTGTGAGAAGTGGTGTACGCGATTACTGGAGAATTGTTCCACATTCCGTATGGTGGTGCATTTGTAAGGAGAGGAATAGCAGAATGTTCGAAGGGAAGGAGTCGCCCACGGCGATGCTGAAAATTCATATTATTCGCTCTTTTGTTAGTTATGTAAAGAGGAATTCTTGCTCCTCTTCCGATGATTTAATCATTTTTTTTGGATTCCTTGGGGCCTTAGACCCCGGTTCCACTTTTGTATAAGGGACGCATTCCCCTTTTGAACGCCTTTTTATTTATTCTTACTTATCAATATATATATATAATTTACATTTATAATCTCATATACTTTTAAAGAGTCTTACATTCCTACCTTTTCAAAAGCTCTAAGAGTAAGACATTGCATGTGGCACTTTCTTTTACTCACCTCCAATGATTGTGACTCGAGAAATTGCACCTCTGTCGATTTAATCACTAAGGGTCTAGTCGGTGGAACCGGTGAACCACGCAAGCTGGTTAGAATCGTTAGATGCTTGGGGCTATTGAATAGAACATGCTGAGCCAAATCCTCTTCATGTAAAACCTGCTTGATTTAGATCGGGAAGATCGTGCGGTTTTATAAAACCATGTGCTATGGCTACCAAACATCATAGTTAGTTTTTTAATGTTACCAAAAATGGGAACCAACAATTGCCTTCCAGATCAAACCAAATTCAACCAATTTTGGTCCACAAGGCTAGGTACCTAGACCCTAAATCACATGTTTCCCATAATCCAAGGTCGACATGAATTCAGTTGTATCGTATGCAAATAATTCTAACTTTTTTAGTGCTATTCAACATCATGCACCCTATTTCAGCCACTCACTTGTTTTCTACTCTTTCAATTATGAGTCCCTTATTGCTTTCACTTTATGAGAATAACCCAAAGGCAAACCCTATGTGAAGAAGGTTCCCCACCTTACACCTAAGTTAAGAACATGCACCTTCTCATAATCTCTTGTTGGTTTTAGCTCGTTTATTCTCTATTTTAAATCCGAGACTTGCCACCAGTGCTGAAGCACAACCCATGTAATTTGGAATGTACATGTCCAAGCTATATAAAAACTATACCTGCATATCACCTGATTCTCTGAAAGAATCATTGTATGTTATATTTCCCTGGCCACAAATATAGAAGAACTTGGAAGATGGCAATTATGTTTCAACGTCCTTTATCTTTGCCTTCATATTTCCACTCTACACACCACTGAAGGCATAAGCATACTTACTGCCACATAGAAGGACTTTTCATCTCACTCTAGCTCATCTCAAATTGTTCAGAATGTCAACTGTAGAGATGTGAATAAACCAATGACAACAATGAACCAAAATGTCAAAGAGGGGCAGAAGAAAAGCTCGTAATTCCCCACGACCAAACAATGAGCCAGCAAATGGTTAACTTTCTTGTCATCACTCCGGCATGAAAAAATGTTACATTGTTAGCATGAAGCTAATGAGAATTCATCCCACTTCTTCCCCATGTTAATGACAAACCTTCTAATGCTCTACCCTCAAATTTTCTTTGGATCTTGTACTTAAAGCTTTCATCACCCAATGAAAGCAAATGATAAAGAGGTTCCCCATGTCTTGAGCCCCTTGAGCTTTTCAAATGCCCACAGGGACTCCTAATCAATACTTAGAATGGTAGTAGGGATGAATATTAATATGAAGGAAAAGTATAATGGGTTAGTAAAAGGACACGGTCTCTCCCTTCATGTGTTTAATTGGTAGAAAGCAGATGAATGAAAAATTGTTACTTTATATTTATACTATGCCCTTACATATTTAGACTTGGGTGTTGCGTAAAAAAAACTATGTGAAATAATTTCCTAAAAGCCAGATGTGAATTAATTAAAATATTCTAGGGAATTCATATCTACCTGCCCCGTTGGGTATACATGCCTTGCCCTGGCACTAATGGGTAGGGTTTGGCATGCTTAAAAACAGTATAAGGGCGGGTTTGGGTGTCAAAAATTGAACCCGAAGCAGGTCAGGCTAGGGGATGGGATTAGGAGCAAACACCCTGCCCTCTCCAATTATATATATAGATATATAAGATACAACAATACCCTTACATTCCATTACTATATTTTAAATATCCTTTGTTATATATGTATACCATGTGCGCTGGGGTTTCTCAATTCTCACTTGAGCCGCCTCCCCGTCTCACAGTAGGGTTCTTTCTCAGCCATCTCTCTCTCTCTTTGCCTATGTTAAAGATGAGCGGGCTGTTGCAAAGATAGATTATGGGAACACCTAATGAAGATGTCTTTCCGCATTTGGACTGCGCTTGAAAACTACAAAAGAAATGCGTGCAGTGTTAGAGAGAGGCTTCAGTGAGTGAAACCCAGATGGTAAGGTAACTCAGTGGTTGATCACATGTATAGTTAAATAAAATTCTGTAATCATAGTGTGAATGATATTTGTAAAATCAAAATCAGTGTATCTCACCAGTGTTGCTCCTGCAATTAGATTAGGCAAGAAGTGGGGTATATGTATATTATGGCAGGGAATTCGCTGCTGATGATGGTTCAAAGCTGCAATAGTGAAAGCCTTTATTAAAATATCAATGTACTAGTTGTTCTAAAAAAATATAATGACGGGAATTCACTTTGTCGTCCTCTAGTTAATAGTAACTTGCTACAATCAGGTCTATTTTATGTTTAGAAAATTTTTTCCTTAAAATTAAACCCCCAATCATTTCATTTTTGCGCAAGTGTTTCCAATTTTTTGTAGGAGATGAATCTTTGGAGGCTGCTAGTTTCTTGCTACCATGGCGACTGCCTTCTATAGTTTATATAATATTTATAGTTTGGTTAAGTGAACTCATTTTGTGCTTAATGTTTGATTGCTAATGATAGGTCACTAAAGTTATGGCTCGAATGGCTTCAGCTGATATAATGTGTGTTGGGCCCAAGTCTGTGCGAGAGAAGTTCAGTGGTGTTATTAGGTATTTACACTTGTTTGTATGTATTGTCTAAAAGTATGGATTTACAGAAATTTTGAATGTTAGGTTGCAAATTAATTTTTATTCACCATCATGTTAATTGTAGATCAAGCTTCACATTACTATATATTTTATAATTTGATTAGTGAATATTACCTTTTTATTTCTATAGACAATTTATTTATATTTTTGAGTTTCATAGCTTTTGGTTCTTTTATTTTATTTTTAAAATTTTTTTTTTTTTTTTATATTCTTTTAGCATGTTAAGAGCAGGGAGGCTATTTGGTCCATGCTCCCTGTTCAGTTATTTTGTCACATTGGCCGTGACCTAGGTTCTTAAACCATTGGGAGTTCAGGGTTCCTATTTTTTTATTTTTTATTTTTTTGCAATTAGGTTGTCCTTATCACTCATCAGCTTGGCAATACTGAATTACTATTGCTCTTCATTTATGATTACAAAAAACATTGAGAACCAGTTTCCATGAAAGATGAGGATTAATGCAAGAAACATTTTCTATTTTCAGACAACCTGAATGGTGATGTAGCTATTAATATAGAGGTGATGGGATGATTTATTGAGGTCACGGTTCAGATTTAAAGTGAGATGGTTGAAAAAGCTCTTTGGTTACTGATCAATTATTATTTTGTGATAAGTTGATAACATAAAATAATAAGTTAATAGAACATTGTAGCTTCTAGTGGCTTGCATTCATTTTCTGATAGGAGATCATGTAGGTTGTTACTGTTTATAAATAATTGCATTGAGAGTCAGAGAAGTAGGGTGCATAACAGAAATTGGCGTGATTATTGGATAGTGAAACTCATATGCATTAAAGTAAGAGACAGATGTGGAGTGGTGACTATTGTGACAGTTAATTGTAAGAACCAAAGTTTTGTAGTTTTGACAAGTTCCACTAATTGCAGCTTTCGTTTTTAACCGTCTTACTTGTATATTGATCAAATAATTGTTAACAATTAGCTTGAGTTTTTTTTTTTTTTTTTTAATTAGCACTTTGTGTGATGGAATATGGGTGTAGATATTAATGTAAAATTATGGAGTTGTTTAGAATTTAAGGAGTCAATAACAATTTTTTTGGAATATAACTTCTATAAAACTGTTCAAATCAAGGACAAATGATTTTCAAAGTTGATGTTATAAGGAACAAGCAATTGCTTGGTATTCTTGCAGTGTGTTCATTCTCTGATAACATCTTTTCATTTCCAGTAATTGAATAATCAAGTATGCGTACTGTACTTGTTTGACAGTCTACTTATTGATGCATCTAAAGCTTGGGATGTCCAACTTGCAAATATCTCAAGTAGCTAGAACAAGCTTTACTTTATCAGAAGAGACTAGCACAAAAATTTCTTTATGTTGTTGTATTATAATCTCATTTTACTTTAGTTAAACGTTAAAATATTACTTTAAAATTTAGATGTATAAATGTTTATTGCTTATGTATAAATTTGGGTAAACTGAGTCGAGTCTGTTGTGCAATCTAAAGAGAGATTTCTTCAATCTAACAGGCAACAAGATGTTAGAGCAACTGAGATTGACAAAGTGGATATGCACTCATCCTTCCGCCCTGGTGATATTGTTAGAGCTTTAGTTGTATCCTTTTTTGCTTGATGCATCTTTCCATCGTTCTAGAAGATGTGTTTGAAAACTTTTGATGTATGCTTTTTGCATAATGATGCATGACAGTCATGCTAATGGTATGACTCGAGGTACTAGAATTGCCAAATTGATGTTGATACTTGATGTTCAGTCTTTGCCTCTGCATGCTTTGATGGAAGTACTAGTTGATGGCAGGTTCTTAGCATTTGCAAGCTCTATCATCTGAATAGGATGTTGTTAGAGGCGTTGAGCAACTAGAGCAATGATTAAAATATTCTCTGTGATGATACCAATTGGGTAAAATTTGGCTGAGGGTTTGTTCATATTTTCATGAATTTTGCTTATTTGCATTTTATGTTTTTCTTTGGATAGTCAATCTATATCTGTATCAATTAAATGCTCAATGACTTTTTTGCTTCGATTTTTTGAATTCAATTGTTGGCCTTAAAGTTTTCCTTTGGAAAGCTCTCTCTTGGAGATGCGCGGGCATATTATCTATCAACTGCGAAAAATGAATTGGGTGTTGTATCTGCAGAAAGCATGTCAGGTGAGTTGCTTTACTCTTCAGTGTTCTGGAAGATTTATGAATTAATTCTTCTGCTTTTCTCTTGCTATTTCATATTAGTTTTCATACTAACCTACTAAAGTGATGACTTGTTTGTCCTAAATTTTTGTCGATTTCTTTAATATAATAATGTATACAAATATATTATATATGAATGTTAGTTTTTACTTTTGATGGTAGTCACAGAAAATTCTCCCTCAAATAATGTAACTTTCTATTTCTCCACTTTGTTAACTTACGGTGATGCTCGGGAGATATATGAGAATGTCATTTCGATAACTGATGTTCCATAGGATAGTGAAATTGTAAAAGGATTTGATGTGTTTCCTAGTTTTTTGTATATGTGGTGAAGCAATTTTCACTATAATTGTTAGTGTTTTGATTCCTGTTATCAATTTTATTTTGCTCAAAGGTTGTGTAGCTGCTTCCATAGTCCATGTCTCCTGTATGTGATTTCTAAAGGGGTAACTGTTGTGTCAATTAATTCAATACAGGTGCCCTTGTACCTCAGTTTTAGTTATTTGTGCTCTAGTCTTCTTGGCAATCCAAACTGCATTCATCTTGTTTTTGTGCTAAATTTCTGCTTTTTGTTCTTTGTCCTTCATGACATTATTAACTAGATTGAATTGTCTCCAAGCTTTCATCAGCATTCATTTTTCCATTCACAATCCATTTCTCTACTTCGGCAAATTGGCTTGTAAAGCATTCTGCTTAAAATTAAAATTCTATGACCTGACTTTTAGCATCTAATTTTTATTTCTAGAAACCAGCTTTTCCATAATTCCTATTCAAGATTCTTCTGTTTTTAATTATTAGCAAGATTTTCATTATGTTCTCATCTAATCTAATCATAAGACTATCATCATGAACCACTTCAGCACGTTAGGTGGGTGGGCATAAAAGGATTTCACGGGCGTAAAGGGGATCCCCCTTTTTTGCTATGTAGGTTCAACTACCTTTTATGTGGGCCCTCTCATTCCTTCCAAAACTAAGGATCATAGGGTTGGGGACCTCTCCATACGAATGAAATTCCATGACCTGACATTTAGCATCTAATTTCTATTTTATTTTACTATATATCTAGAAACCAGCTTTTCCATAATTCCTATTCAAGGTTCTTCTGTATATAATCATTAGTAACATTTTCATTATGTTCTCATCTATCAAGCAAAATATAGCAATTTATTTGTATTGATTTATTCACGAACATTTCACATCATGCAGTTTTTTTTTTTCCTTCTCCCTTGGCAAGAAACTTACGCACCCATTTGCTGCTATGGGAGGTTGAGGATATTTCACTAGAGTAAATTGTTAAAATCTGGGTTTTAGAAAATTTTATTTATCTGATTTATTTAAATAATGATTGAATTGTATATTAAAATAAATTTTCAAAGCTTTAAAGCAATTTTAACCTTTAATTATGGAGTTCCGTACCTGTTTGCCTCTGCAGATATTGCTATTTGGAAAAAAAATCTATAATGAAAAACCACAGTTCAGAAAATTGCACCTCTAAAGTGAAATGATAATTGCTGCTAAAAATGTATTAAATGAAAAACAAAACACTTCTACGAGGGCACTATCATTGAGGGCACAACTTCATTATTGTTGGATGGAGGTGATGATGTCTAAGTCTACCAATGGCTATGAGGAAGTGAGTTTAGTGAACTGCCCTCGTAATTGACTCTCTCTTTTAGAAATGAGATGTCCTTTATTATATAGTACTACTAATTTTCCTCCCATGATAATGTGATCAACCCACGTTATTCCTACTTTGATGATACTTTTTGTTACAAATTTTGCTTATATTTAAGACTTTGCGTTACTTGTGTCAGTTGGCAAATAGAAGCAAGCATACTTCAAATTATGGTTTTGCAGATGAGCTGCACATATATGTGTGTGTGTGTGTGCATGTTCGTGTGTGCATAACGAACTATTTTGTGATTAGCCACTAGGGGCCAATTTTTCAAGTGATATTCGTTTGGCATATATACAACTTGTATATTCCTGATTGGATCTCTTGATTTTCATAGGTGCAATAATGGTGCCAATAAGTTGGACAGAGATGCAGTGCCCATCAACTGGCCAAATTGAGCAGAGAAAGGTTGCTAAGGTTGGAGCTTAACAAACTGATATCAAGGAGGGATTTTATATTTTAGAGGTAGAGTATTTATGGTGATTGTATTGTTTGATTCAATATTTAGTGATGCCCTTCCAGAAAAGTTGTACTTTCTGTCATATATATGCCTACTATGAACTTCCCTATCAGGTGATATATATATATTTTTTGCAAAATATATTTATGTTTCATCATTTGGAAACAAATATTACAGTATATTGGAGGAAAATGTTTCTCTCAATAGCTTGGATTTCGTACACTAGAAATTGTTACCATAATTCTTGCTCAAACTCTTAGCATAATGGGGAAATCTTTAGCCCCTCCAAGGAATTTGCGCCCAAGAGGAGTCGAACCTTAGACTTGATGCTTAATCTGTAGTTGTATTACAATGCTTGATGTGGTTAAAAATTGATTACAACTCGGGTATGGCTACCATTTTGATTTAGCTACTGAATTTTGTAATTACAATGGTAGTCTCATGTTGCATAAGAAGGCATATTATAATGATATTGAATATTTTCCCCTGGGTGCGTGCAAAATGGTTGCGGATGTAGAGGTGAGTAAGCGAATTAAACTTTAGATATTGTTTTTTTTTTTCTTAGGGCTTCGCACAGTGAGGAAGAGAGAAAATATGTGGTATACTTGGGAGAATCTTTTCCAAGATTAAAATGCCTTTCTTGATGCAACCCTGTCCCTCCTCGCTCTAACAGCTCGCTCTTTTTCATTTTTCCTTATTATTTTTTTTGGTCTGAGAAAGCACCTACAGAATCCTTGATTGTGTTCTTGTTTTGCTAATGGAATGTCTGAACATGCATGCCTATAAAGTATCTTTATATATAAATGAGATGTGATATATATATATATATATATATAATGGAATGTCTGAACATGCATGCCTATAAAGTATCTTTATATATAAATGAGATGTGATATAATGGAATGTCTGAACATGCATGCCTATAAAGTATCTTTATATATAAATGAGATGTGATATATATATATATATATATATATTGATAAGTATAAATGAAATGTGATATATATATAATGTGTTTAATATATATATATATATGCAATAGGTTGAGACCAGTTAGAAGTTTCAAGTTAACCAAATACACGTTCTGACAAAAACATTTATCCTGCATCTTAGTGATATCTATCTATAATGAAACTTGCACAACTGATACAAATCTGTAGACATCTTTGTTGAACTGATGCAAATCTGATGGGAGGGGTGTGATTATGATTGTTTTTAATTTCTTCCAATATTTCATTCGAACAAAAATATGATTGAAAATTTCATTTAATCCCTCTTCAATGGGAAATAAAAAGCAACCAAAGTGTTCTATACTGATTTGTTGCTAATATTATGTAAAAAATAAAATAAAAAATGCTATATGCATGTTCATTTAAATGAAATGCTATATGCATTTGCAAAGTTTAATATAAGAGATTTTCATTTTAATACCATTGAAATTTTTTATAATTGTTAATAAAGGCAAAATTCTGAGTGTTCTATAATGATGTTGCTAATATTATGTATAAACAAATGAAAAAAATTGCTATGTGCATGTTCATTTAAATGAAATGCCATATGCATTTGCAAAGATTAATATCATGGCAGAGATGTTCATTTTAAGACCATTGAAAATTTTGATAATTGTTAATAGAGCCAAAATTCTTCGACAGGAAAGGAGCACGAGTCATGCAGAGCGGCCAATATATATTTTCTGTTTCTATTTTTTTCTCCCTAAACTTTTTTTGTAATAATAATAATAATAATGAATGAATGAATTCGCTTTGACAACACATTTTTTTAAAAAAAATTGTTTATTTTATTTTATTTTATTAATGTTGATATTTTCATCATATTTTGTTTTTTATAATAAACAAACACAAGGTTTTAAATGTCAGACGACTCAAACTTTTTGAGTTTACCATTAACTTTGTCGCATAATTTCTCAAAAATCATTAATAAGTGCAATAAAATGTAATTTAAAACAAAATTTATTATTGATAAGTGAGATTGACAGGGTAGTTAGTGACGTGAGTCTATAAATTTTTTATTTTTAACAACTATATATAAATATATTCTTGAATGTATTGGAAGGACCACATGAAGGTTTTTTTTACCCTTAAACCTGTATATATAGACACACACGTAAGGGTAAGTCGGAAGGAAATCCTCTCCTGTCAACCGTGATTCTTGTACTCTCGAGTAGCTGCCTCCTTGGGGGTATGCTGACCCTATTAATTAAATTAAATTTATTTTATTTTACATGTATGGCTATAATTTATAAAATTTTATGACATATTCTCCCAAAATTATTATTTTTAATTTGTTTTAATTATTTTTAAAAATATTTGCATTCCTCTTATTCAATCAAACTCTAATTTTTTTCCCTTCAAAGTTTTCTCATATATATTTTAAATTTTATTTTATTTTTCTTTTACTTAAAACATTTTTCTTATACTCATGTATGTTGTATGTGCAGTAACCTCTTCTCTCATTCTTATTCTATTTTTACTCTCTTATTCTTTTATTTTTGAAATATTATACACTTAGGTTTGGCAATATCATTTTTTTTAAAAAACATTTCAAAGATATATATATTTTTAATGAAAACATTGTGCAACAAAGTAGTTACCAAACCTATTTTGTTTAAAAAAAAAAGAAAAAGAAAAAGAAAAGAGATCAGATACGTTAGTCAAACCAAAACCAGGGATAGAACACCATATCTCTTACAAGTCTGTTATCTAATAAAATAATAAAATGGAAGAAAGAAATAGAATTACTTCTTGTGCGATTGGATACATAGGAGATAGTAATAATTTATATTCATGTTTAAATGGATATGAGAAAAAAAAAAAACGAAATGGTAGTCATTCTTGTTTAGATAAAATAGAAAATAGAAAAGAAAAAGAAAAGATAATAACCAAATTATTATCCTACCCTTTTATATAACTAGAACTTGAATGGAATAACAAATCTATATATTTATTTGTGAAGACTAGTTTTGATATTAAATACAACTAAACTACGTATTTTCTCTCATTATCTTCTCAATTTTTTGATCCCTATCATTTCTTTTATTTTCTTTTCTTTCCTTATCCCTCCAAATCATCCGGCGACATAAGTGAATATTGAATTGAATGCGGAAGAATTGAAGTGGACATAATGTTTACAAAGCTTTTAGTTTCCTCCCATACTTCATCAGAATGAATATATGATTACAAATTTCAATGAAAAAAAAATTGCTTTTGAGATGATTTAAGTAAAATGTTATATGCATCTATAAATCAGTCTTAGAGCCCACCTAATTTATTACTACTATTTATTCAAATGAAATGTTTATATACAACTGTAAACAAGGTTTTTTTACTTGAAAGAAGTTCACCATTAATATCATGTAAAAGATATTCATTTCAACACACTTAAAAAAGCATCCGTTTTGAGTTGAGAAAGAGCCGTATAATTGGATCTTACATGGTGTGAGTCCTTGGAACTAACCAAATCAACCTTGAAAACAGTTTCTAGAACACTAGCTCATACAATTATTAACAGCCTAACGTGAGATATATGTGTATACATACATACATCATAAAATATTTTTTTAACTCGCACATCCATTTAGCCTATAAAATTTTGGACCCTTACCATTTTACGTAAAGAAAATACGATAAACTATAACTCTTTATTTATAATACAAATTACTTTTAACTTTAATTTTTTTTAAATTACTTTTATGTACTTTTATATATTAAATCAAAATAATACATTATGAGCACCCACCGTCTCAAGAAACCACAATGAAATTAGTGGTTATATACTTTTTACTTTAATAATAATAATATATAGAGAGAGAGTACATGATTTTATTACCTTACAATTATATATCAGTCTTTATAAATTTTTTTTTTTCCCGGGAAATATCAGTCTTTATACGCTATTACCTAATAATGGGCTTTCTCTCTCTCTGGACGACATACACATTTAAATTTCAGTCTATGTCTAGTTTTATGCTTTATTTACATTTTTTCATGCCTTGCTTTTTTCTATCTAGCTTTCTTTTATTTTATTTGTACCTTAACTTTAGTCCATTAATTGCATCTTTAATTAATTTCATTTACTTTCATTTAATGTAATTTCTTTTAATAGCTCCATACCTCTTGCAATTCTTTTAAATTTTATAAGAAAATAATAAAATTTATATTTCATTAATTTTTCTACTCCATTTGAATATATACACACATACATGTATACAAAACTTAGTTGCTTTGTTTTTTAAATTGAGGAGGCATTAAATGAAATTTTCAATTGTATTTTTGTTCCAATGAACTAAGGAGAAAACTAAAACTGACGAAATTTACATCCCTATTCCCTTTCATCAATGTACTTACCATGTTGGCCCAATTAACTTTTTTTTTTAGTAACTTATATGCCCATAATTTATAAAATTTAATAAAATTACTCCTCTTTTATCCTTTTTAGAAATCTCTCTAATTCTTATTTTATTTTATTTTATTATTATTATTATTCAATCAATCCTTAATTTCCCCCCTTCAAATTAAGCTCTCACATATTTATTTTTTTCATTTTATTTTCTTCTTCCTTTCTTTTTCATAAAAAATTTCTTCTTACACTCATGTATGACTCACACACACACACATATATGCGGTGATCTTCTTTACTCTGTTTTTTTTTTTTTTTTTACTCTTATTCTATTACTGAAAATTTATATACTTATGGGTTATTTGGCAATGTGTGGGTGGTTAAAATTCTGTCCCTTAACTTAAAAAAAAACAAAAAAAAAAAAAAAAAAAAAAAATTATTTTTGTGTGTATAATTCTTTAAAATTTTAAAATTTCCCCCCAATTTTAAAAAATTTCATTTTTGTATGTATAGTTCTTTCAATTTTTAAAATTCCCCTACCTCAAATTTTTTTATTGCATTGTGCCCCTGAACATAATTTCTCGCTTCGTCCCTACTCACGCCCCTTGAAGTTTGTTCTTGTTCTAATTACACACAGGGCTCGAGAATGGCCTGAATTACACTGACCTCCTGCGTGTGCTCAACGACCCCTTGCCATTAACTAACCTCTAGAACGGTCAATTTTTTATTTATTTATTTTTTCATTTATTTTGGACATTATGACATTATTTCTCTCCCCTTAATTGTGTTGGTTGTCTACAAGTTCTAGACGGAGAGGAATCAAAGATTTATAAAAGGCAAATGGAGAT